GCCAACTGAAGGAGAGCGGTGTGAAGCTGCAAGACGATGGTGAAGGGATGCTGCTTATCTAGGCGGCAGGGGACGTGCTCGATCGCGCGACGTATACCGGCCGGGTCCTCTGCACCGACCTTCGTCCTTGCTCGGCGAAGTCCACAACACCCACAACGGAGGTGGTGGCTCTGCGGGCGATCGTCTCGGCGACGAAGTCGACGCCGGCCCGGTGGCACGCTCGCCTTGCCCACGTTGGCGTCGACACCATCACAAGCTCGGCGAAGCACGAGGTCGCCACCGGCCTGGACATCAAACCGTCGGCCGGAACCGACTCTCTGTGTGTCTCGTGCATCGGCGAGAAGCTGGCACGGCACACCTTCCCCGACAAGGGCTCGGACGCTGATGATGCCCTGGCTGTCGTGCACATCGACTTGTACGGGCCGTTTCGAGTGGCTGCCAAGGACGGCAGCCTGTACTTCCTGCTGCTGAAGGACCGCAAGACCCGCTACGTGTGGGTGAGGTCGGTTGTCAAGAAGTCTGACGTGCTGCGGGAGTTTGAGAAGTGGCTGGAGGTGGTTGAGCGGCAGACGAAGAAGTCGGTGCTCATGCTGCGCTCTGTCCGGGGAGGGGAGTTCCTCGGGAAGGAGTTCACCGCCTTTGTGGACGGCAAAGGGATCGTCCACGACTTCACTTGCCCGTATACCCCGCAGCAGAATGGGATGGCAGAGCGGGAGACGCGTACGGTGGTGGAATCGGTGCAGACGATGCTGGTGCATATGGGCCTGCAGCACCACTGGTGGCAGCTCGCTCTGCGAGAGGCTGACTGGGTACACAACTGCATTGAGACGTCGACACTGCTGCCGGGGACGACGCCGTTCCAACTGCTCATTGGGAAGAAGCCCGACTTGACGCTGGCCCGTGTGGGGCTGCATGGCGTAGTTCCTGATCCCCGAGGAGCAGCGTGGAGGAAAGCTGAAGCTGAAGGCCAGGTGGGGCCTTCATCTCGGCGTGTCGGAGGAGACGAAAATCTGGCGTCGCTTTTACTCTCCCTGCTGACGCCGCGCACCCCCCCCCCCCCCCCCCCCCCACACACCCAGGTTTACGCAAGAACGACTGCCTATTAGAGAACATACTCACGCCCACAACCAAAGCAGCTGACCACGACGAGCCGGTCACCCCAGAGGAGATCGCCTCCTGTGGGCTCATGACCATCTCCGTCTCTTTCTCTGCTGCTTTTCCCTACTGAATATGCCAGGACTACACATAACCGGACGAGCATGGGCGGCTATGTGTTTGTCTACGGAGGGGCCGCAGTCTCCTGGTCGAGCCAGCGCATCAAGTGCGCGACGCTGTCGTCGAGCGAGTCGGAGTACGTGGTGGCCACCGAAGCCGGCAAGGGGGGACGTCGGCTTCGCTTCCTCCTCGCAGAGTTCTGGCTACTGGACGCCGGGACGCCGACGGTCCTTCGTGTGGACAACAAGTCGGCCATCACCGTCGCCGGGGCTGCAGAGCAACCTCAAGCACATGGAGTGACGCTACGCCTGGCTGCAGCACATGGTGAAGCGCGAAAAGTTCGCGCTGCAGTACATCCCGACCACCGAGCAGCCGGTCGACTTCCGGACGAAGGCGCTGCACTTCCCGGCCTTCAACCGGTGCTCTGTCGCAATCAGCCAAGTGCGCCTGGCCGACGTCGGCGACGGTGATGACAACGTGCAGCAGTAGGTGCCATGCCCTCTTGCATGGCTGGTGCGGTGACCGGCGTGCTGTGTGTTGTGTGCACGCCGACGAAATATTCTCCGAATAGTGCTGCCGCATAGGGTGGAGGTCCCAAGCGTGAACGCGGCAAGGGAGTGTCAACGGATTTTACGTTGTTGGCCCCGTCCTCCTTGGGCGGCGCCGGCTTTGTTGTCGGGTGTGCGGGAGCGCATCCGACCTGCTGCAGTGGGCGACGCCTTCCTGGACGTCTGGACGGCGTCCTGGGCGCCTGGACGCCGACCTGGGCGTCTGGACGACGTCCTGGGCGCTTGGACGCCGACCTGGGCGTCTGGATGGCGTCCTGGGCGCCTGGACGCCGACCTGGGCGTCTGGACGGCGTCCTGGGCGCCTGGACGCCGACCTGTGCGTCTAGAAGGACGCCGACCTGGTGGCGTCAACCTGGTAGCACAAGTGAACGACTAAGGAACGAACGCTACGATCATTCCTACCCCGTGCCTACCCCGTAGTATAGCTCCCGTTGTAGTAGGATGACAGTAGTAGGTGTCATGCCCTAGCAATAGGGCATATTTATTGATGCATCTAGCTGCCCAACAGATGCCACATGCGTTGATGTGCATGAAACAACGGGAAGGAACGGATGTGTTTTGCAAAGGTTGCCCAAGGCCACAAAGAGGGCTAAATGCCTTACAATTGCTATGCAAAGGTACCAGAACCAAGCATTAGTATGCCTATGGCGGCAGAGTTGGATGAATGATATCATACACAATGCAAAGGCAGCAGCACCAATACTAGCTGTGTCCGAAAATCCAAGGAGGGATGAATGACATCTGAAGTGATAAGGCAGCAGCACGATGTGCTGTTGCTCATGAGGCACCAGATATGGATGGCTAACATACAACTGCAGTGCGCAGGCGACAGAGCCGAGAATAGAGCATTGTTGTAAAACGAGGGAGGGGGCGATGACAACTGACCTGCCAAGGCAGTGATGCGTTGAGTTGTTGTGCCTGAGAAAGCCGGGATGAATACAAAACCAGCGACAAACTCAGGGCAACGGCTGAAGCAACATGTCCTGCAGATTCCTGAAAACCAGAAAGGGATGTTAAAATACTGGATTGCAAAGGCAGCAGCACCATGTGCTACTGCGCATGCGGCATGAGCGAGGCATGGAAACCCGAAAACTACAGATATGGATGATTGACAAACAACCGAAGCGCAATGGCAGCAGAGCCAAGCTTTGCCATGCCTGATGCACCAGTGATTGGTGGACCACTAAACAAACATATGCAAAGGCAGCAGCAACTAGTGCTGCGGATATTTGTTTGCAGAGGGCGAGTTGAATGGCAACTCACCTGCCAAAGCGGCGGCGCGATGAGATGCGCAGCCTGAGGCGGCCGATATGGATGGATGACACACCTCCCTAGTGCAACGCCAGCAGCTCCAAGTCCTTCCCTGTTCCTAAAAACAACCAAACGGGATGAATGACAATTGTTATGCCAAGGCAGCAGCACCATGTGCTGCCGTGAATGCGGCATCAATGAGGCATGCAAGCCCGAAAACCCCTGACAGGGATGGTCGACAAACAACCGAAGCGCAATGGAAGCAGAGCCAAGTTTTGCCAGGCCTGATGCACCAGTGATTGGTGGACCACTAAACAAACATATGCAAAGGCAGCAGCAACTAGTGCAATGCAAAGGTAGCACATGCCTACGGGCGGCTGTGCCAGTGGCACGAGCGAGGCATTAATCCCTGAACAGCAGTAGTGCAAAGGCAGTAGGAACTCGTGATGATGTGCAAGCGAATGGGGAGGAATGAACGAGTCCAATTACAGTACATCAGAGGATAGCACACAGTGGTGGTGCACCAGTGGTGGTGGTGCTTCTGCGCAAACTGTGCCAGAATCTCTTCCTCTCCTAAATGATGATTTAGTAACAGCAGGCCACCCCGAATGCAGATTTCAAGGGGCCCTTACTCATTATTCTTGCCACATATGTCGTGGGCACAAAGTGCACCATTTTGGTTAAGCGATCAACAAACACTAGTATTGCCGTATTACTATCTCATGTCTTGGGGTGATCGGTGATAAAATCCATCGATACACTCTCCCAAGGCTCATCGGGAATCTCGAGTAGTTGAAGCAAACCACCAAGCTTCTGCTTGCTTGGCTTTTTCCGCGCATACATGTCACAACGAGTTACAAACTGATGGACCTCAATGCCCAATCCTGGCTACTAGTATACATCACTGAGGGCCCACCAGGTTTTCTTGACACCCAGGTGTCCTCCATACTTAGTGGCATGCACCTCTGCTAGAATGTCATTCCGCGGGTTTCCCACATGTGGGACTACAATTTCTTTCTTGTGCCACCAGAGCGCATGCTCCCACAAGAGATCCTTTGTATTCTGTGGGTTCTGAAACCAGGGATCATTGCGTGGATGCGTTTCAGAAAACCACCAAAGGCAATCTCACTCACTCGAGCAATCACGATGACGCTGAAACAAGCAGCGAACACTGCTTTGTGTTCACAATCATCAACCCCCGTTGCTGTGCCAATCGGCTGTCTACTCAGCAAATCAGCCATGTTCGTCGAGCCCGGTCGATATCGAATCTCGTAGGTGAACCCCACTAAGGAGTTCAGCCCATCGAGCTTGACGGCGGGTGAGTGTGGTTTGCGTGGCAAAATAGGTGTTCGGACAATGGTCGGTCGTGACCACAAAGACGACACCTTCCAAATAACATCTCCATGTTCGTAGCGCATGCACAACTGCCAGCAATTCATGTTCGGAAGTTGTGTAGCGCTGTTCCGCCGGGGAAAGTTCTCGCCTCTCATCTGCACGTGACACGCAGCACCCCACCGAGCTTGGTATTGAACTCATTGAGACCACCCTCAATGAAATCGAGAGTAACCTCCGCGCGATCGCCTCTGCTACTTCTGACGAGTCCTTCGACTCTTTGAGAGGTGCGCTCTGCCCCATCTCCCCACCTTCATTGCTTCCCTTGCTGCGGACTATAACTTGTAATGTTTTCTATTATTGGAACACCTTTTCTCGATTCTCCCTTGGCAAGCCACTCTCGACTCCCGCTTGGCCTAGGCTTCTAGCCTAGGCCCTTAGTTAAACCCGGCGCCTAGTTAAGTCACTCTCGTAACATGGTATTGAGCTAGGTCGTTCTCGACCTATTTTTCTTCTCAATGGGCCCACCCTCAACGACCGCCGTTACTCGCGCTGCCCGTCGCGCGCCCGTCAGTGTGACCTCCGCAAGAGTCGCAACGGTCGAGACGGATGCGACGGCCGCAATGGCAAGCATCAACGCTCGCGGTCCCGACGTGCCCCGTCCCCACCCGTACCTACCCCGTCGCCAGTCACGCCCCTGTGCATCACCCGCCGAAGGACCCGCCAGCCTGCGAGCCAACGGATCCGCCGTCGAACCAGCCGCCAACTGCCAACGACCAGCACCAGCAGCGACATTGGCGCCGACCAGCGCCAGCCGCGACAGTGACGCAAACCAGCGCCAACTGCGACAGCTGCGCCAGCAGCACCTGCAGTCCTTGCCACCGTCCCCGTCACCTCCCGTCGCCTCCCCTTTCCCCGTCGTGGCCCCTTCTCGTCACCCGCTTTCGCGGCTGTTCCCGTGTGCAGCCACAGTCGCTGTGGGGGAGGAGAGGGACGGGAAAAGGGCGTGGCGGGAACGCCAGCAGCGACAATGCCAGCGACACCCACGACCGCCAGTAACAGCACCAGCAACACTCCGCCGCACCTCCTCTTCCCCGCCGCCCCACCTGCTATCCGCCGCCCCAACCTCCCTCGTCGCCTTCCCCTCTGCGACTGCGACTGTTGGGGGGGAGGTGGTGTGGATATGGTGGCCGCCGTGAGCCAATGCAGCACCACCCTCTGCCCTGCCGGCTGCTGCTGTGGGGGGGATGTGGCGGGGACTGGAGGGGTGGGGGGACTGGCTGCCGTATGCAGGACAGTGCAAGGACTACTATGGGTGGAGCAGGGGTGTGGAGGAAGGAAGGGGGGGAGGGGGTGCGGTTCCAGGGGGCGGCTGAAATGGGGGGTGAGGTTAAGGGGGGTGGTTGAATGGGTGTGGGGATCTGGGGGTTAGTAAGAGGGGTTTCGCCACGCTTGGCTCCCCCCAACCTCCTCTCCTCATCACTCTCTCACCTTCCCCTTTGTAAAAAGGGGTTAGTAAGAGGGTTTCGCCACGGGTGGCTCCACCTCACCTCCTCTCCTCATGCCTCTCTCTCACCTCCTCCTTCGTTCTTATCTCCTCTCCTCTCCTCTTTCTTTCTCGCCTCCTCCTCCTCATTTATCTCTCTGCCGTCTTCCACTGCGCCAGGTTTACCCCTTCAAGAGGTGTTGACTGGACTAGTTTCTACTGCAAGCAGGCTAAGGGGGTGCGTTACAGTTATATTTAATATATCCTGCTTGCTGTAGTTACTGTAGTTATTGTTCTTTGCTATTGGTGGTGCACCTTTGGTGTGGACAATAACTTGTAATGTTTTCTATTATTGAAACACCTTTTCTCGATTCTCCCTTGGCAAGCCACTCTCGACTCCCGCTTGGCCTAGGCTTCTAGCCAGGCCCTTAGTTAAACCCGGCGCCTAGTTAAGTCACTCTCGTACAGGCCCCCAGAAGTCAGAGAAATTTCTCTGATTTGCCTAAAAAACTCTGATATTTCAGCCTTTTTTCTTAGTGAACTCTGAAAGTTCAGAGTTTTTTTTGCTGTGAACTCTGAATATTCAGAAAAATATTTTAGTTGTCTGAAATTTCAGCCTTTTTCTCAGAGTGTACTCTGATTCATGAGGGTTTTTGCGGGTACCTACTCTCATATGCCTATGCGAAATCTGACCTGACAGCCGCGATTCGCGCTGGAAGTACAATTCTGTCCTGTCAGTCTCGCTAAAACAGTGACAGCAGTGTTGCAGCGTGGTTATCACCTCGTTTTAGGCTGATCAACCTGGTTCACTACCGATGTGAACTCAGGCTTATCAGACTATTTTTCTCTTGAACTCAGAACTTTCAGCCTTTTTTTTTGTACCAAGTCTGATTGATCACACTAAAATTGTGTACCAAGTCTGACAAATCAGACTGCCCAAAAACGAATCTGAGGGCCTGCTCTTGTAACAAAGGAGACTGCAGATATTTCTGCCACTGGTTCGTAGAAACGGGGCAAGGGAGGTAAGGAAGGGGGGAAGGGTGGTGGAGGTAGAGGTGGTGGGGGTGGAGGTGGATGCAGAAGACAGAAGGGATAGCGTTGCAGTCACCAAAAGTGCTTCTACTGCAGTCACCGGTATGCACGAAGGGCGAGTCAGCCAAGCTAAGAGACCTACGGAAGGCGACAAAACCCCAACTCACGCAACCGAAGTAGCAACTGCAATTGGAGGAAACGTGGGGAAAGAACATTAAATGGAGGAGGGTCGTCACTGCGAGCAACTCACTAGCGATACCGGACAGAGCAAAAGAAGCCATCATGCGCGCACATGGTACCAAACTGCAAGTGGAAGAGAGACTACAGTTCCTTGGGGCAAGGGCATGCTGCCCCCACAGCGGCGAGGTAGAGTCACTGAACCACTGCCTTTTCAGCTGCCAGAAAGTACAAATGGTGGTTATGGCAGTCCACAGAGTGCTCCAACTGATGAACTTGGGCAGGAAGGTGGAATCAGTCGGGGATCTACTGTTTCAGACAATTCACACGTGGTCAGGTTTTCCAGAGACATCAACCAGTGACACGTCGGCCCCTCAGCACTGGCTGGCAAGGTGTAATGTTATGTTAAGGGCGGCAAAATATCAGCCGGAAAAAGGGACTACAAAGTCGACATTCGCACACTACATAAAGATATACAATGAGGAAATAACATGACAACTCAATGGACTTGGGACATCTGGCAAGAGACGAGGCATAAGTTATGCGTAGGTTCTACCGCACGAAGGCCTTGCTGGCGTGTAGAGCATATTTCAAGTCTTTCTGAAGGAGCCGACGGTCTCCTTTCAGCAACATTAAAGCGTACAAGGAAGGGAGTCTCTCTACATGTAGACAGTATGCCTTCCAAATAGCCAGTTACAACTGCAGAGAGTCACTCTACAATAGTCATGAGCTAGACTACGGGGTGTTGGCACGAACTCTAGGAGTGATCGTAGCTTTGCTTAGTTCCTTAGCACTTGCACATTCATGGGAGAAACCGGCAAGAGTTTCCACTAGCAAATATCGCATTACAGAATGATAGAAATCACAATGACAAGAATGACTACATCAGGCACCTAGCAGCTCTACAGCTAGCCCGGTCGACCGCCAGCACAGCATGGTCGACCGCCTGCCAGCGTTGCGTAGAGGAGCCGCGCCAGCACTGCAGAGATGCAGCCTGCCAACACAGTAGGTCGACGGCGTGCCAACACTGCAGCAGAGCGGCTGTCCAGCATTGCACCCGTAGAAGACAGAAGTGTGCATGTACGCAGGTGCGTGCAGATGATTGGCTCGACTTGCACCGTTGTGCATCCGTCGGCCCTGGTCTGCGCCTGACAAGCCACATCAACTTCGGGATACCAGCCCGAAGTCTTTTCACCACCGCGACCTCGACGACGTTTGCGTGCATCCGCAGAACTCGCCGAGCTGGTTACCCGGTCGACCTGGTCGACCGTCCTGTGAGCGCCCTGGTCGACGATCCCCTCGTCGACCACCGCGCCTGTCAAACTGCCCCTCCTGATCGACGGCCCGTCCGCCGACCAGCCCAGTCAGTTGCAGCCGTCAAGCTCCCCTTGTCGACAGCTCTCAGCCCTGCGACAGACCTGTGCAGGTCGACGACCACCTCGTCGACCTGCCCCGCAGAAGAAGGCCGTCGAGCTCCCCTAGTTGACGGCAACACCGCAGCGACCCCCTGCAGCTCGACGAAGCCCGTCGAGCAGCTCTCTCACTGGGTATTTTCGGCTACTTCTCCCGTACATCCGACCAGGACGTCGGCGTCGCCCAAGCGAGGGCGGGGCCAATACTCCATTCCCGTTAAAACTCCCCTGCCGCGCTCACGCTTGAGCTTCCACCCACACGGCAGTACTCCATGGAGGAAACTCGTCCTCGGCGTGCACCCCACACACAGCACGCCGTCACCGCACCAGCCGTGCAGAAGAGCATGGCACCTACTGCTGTACATCATCGTGTCCGTCGCCGACGTTGGCCAGGCGCACTTGGCCGATCGCGACGGAGCACCGGTTGAAGGCCGGAAAGTGCAGCGCCTTCGTCAAGAAATCGGCCGGCTGCTCGGTGGTCGGGATGTACTTCAGCACGAACTTCCCGCGCCTAACCATGTGTTGCAGCCACGCGTAGCGTCGCTCCATGTGCTTGAGGTTGCTCGTAAGCCCCAAGCCCTCAGCGACCGTGATGGCCAACTTGTTGTGCACCCGAAGGACAGTCGGCTTCCCAGCGTCGAGCTGCTGGAACTCCGCAAGAAGGAAGCGGAGTCGGCGTCCCTCCTTGCCAGCATCCGTGGCCGCCATGTACTCCGAATCGGTCGACGACAATGTCGTGCACTTGATGCGCAAGCTCGACCAGGAGACAGCGGCCCCTTCGTAGATGAACACGTAGCCGCCTGTGCTCGTCTGGTTCTGCTTGTCGCCGGCGTCGTCCGCATCCACGTCGCCGACCAGCTTCAGCGACTCTGGTCCACCGCTAAAATCCAGGGCGGTGTCGCAGGTGTCAGCGAGGTAGGCAAGGCAGCGGTCGACCTCGTGCCATTGCTAGTCACTCCTCACCGTGAGGCCGCTCCTCAGCTTGCTGCAGGCGAACGCGATGTCTGGCCTCGTCGTCGTCGCCGCGAAGTGCAGCGAGCCATCCTTCTGCCGGTACTCCTCCTCGTCGTCGTCGAACGTCAGCTCGGCGTAGGCGTTGACCGAGACCGGCGTCTTCGGGATGCGCCCAGTCTTCTCCTCGTCGATGAAGCGTCTGTGCAGCTTGTTGGCGTAGTTCTGCTGGTGCAGCCACAACTTCCTCACTAGCCTGTCACGCACGATCTCCAGCCCTAGGTACTTGAGGACTGGTGAGATCTTACACAGCTCGAAGGCCGCCTCCAGCAGCTCCTTCAGCTCCTTCAGCATCACAGTGCTGCTGCTGGCGGCGAGCAAGTCGTCGGCATAGACCAGCACCCAGCAGGTCACTCCGTCGTCGCCGACCTTGAAGTAGAGCGCCTCGTCGACCTGGCTCTTCTTCCAGCCAGCCCCCAGCAGCACGCCGTCGAGAGCCCTGTACCACAGCAGCGGCGAATGCTTTAGTCCGTAGAGGCTCTTCAGCAGCTTGCATACCCGACCGGCCCCGTCGTCGAAGTAGTCCGGCTGGTACATGTACAGCACCCGGTCGGCGTCCACGTAGTCCCTGCACGGCTTCAGAGCGATCTACACGCCGGGCGAGCAGCATCGTGAGATGACCGTGAAGGTCAACAGCTGCACAACGCGAAACTCCGCACGCAGGTCGGGGTAGTTCTCCGACGGCGTCGCCACGGTGCCGGCGGCGAAGCCCATCAGCCCGGCCATCTCCAGCTGAGGCTCAATTGCCTCCTTCCACGTGAGAATGTCAGGTCGTCCGACCAGCAGGGGGGTTACTGAGATTCTGTCCGGCGTAAACTTGAAGTATCCGTAGCTAGGCGCTATCCCTCCCGCTGTCACGTGAGTCGCCGACAACGGCGTCAATCCGCTTCGTCGACCTCGAACGTCGCCTTGCAAGGACCCTGCAGCCGCCGACGACTGCATCCCTCGCGCCTGAACGCCACCGACTTCATCGGCATGAATCACACCTCGCTGCCTCGACGTGCCTCTCGCACTGCTGCCGACTTGGTCACCGGCGTGGACGCCTACGTCGACGCCGCCCTCGTCGTTCACCGGTCGAGGAGAAGCAGGTCGAGAAGGGTGCTCCGTCGCCCACACGGCGCGGATGCCAGCCTCGACGACTGCCCAGGGGATGTCCTCGTACTCGCGTGCCTCGTGGCGTCTCCTCGAATCCTCTAGTTGTGCCTCTAAGGTGTCTGCAACACCAGTGTCACCTACGCCAACCATGGTGGTGACTAACGCACAGCTGCCGGCATACGAACAACTTAGGTAAGTGGGACTAAGTCGACTATACTGAAAACTACGTCGCGGTGCCATCCACGGTCACCGCACCATGCGGAGATAACTGATTCAACGGGAGCTAGACTACGGGCTAGGCACGGGGCTAGAGTGATCTCTGCGTTCGCTCCTTAATCGTTCACTTGTGCTCACTCTACTTGCGCATTCACAGGGAAAGTTGGGAAGAGTTTCACTAGCAAAAGTTTACAATAATGGTACAGAATGGCAAGGAAACAATTACTACATCAGATGCTAGCATGCAAGCTGGTCGACTGCCAGCGCAGCACGGTCGACCGCGTTTCAACACGACTTGGTCGACCGCGCTCCAGCGGTGCAATGTCGCGGTCTGCCCACGTTGCAGGTCGACGGCGTGCCAACACTGCAACAAGGCGGCTGCACAGCGTTGCACCCGCAGGACAGCAGTGCACCCGTTTCGCAGGTGCTCGCAGCTGGTTGGCGTGCTGTGCCTCGTCACTCGCACAATGCAGTCGCCATGCTAACCGCGGCCCACGTCGGCACCTGATCCTCCACGTCGACCTCGGGATACCACCACCGAGGTCGGCCTCGCCAGAACCACCTGGGCGACTGTCGCACACGTCGGCAGAACTTCGTCGCCCGGGTAACTTGGTCAACCTGGAAACCACCAGGTCGGCGTCGACTTCTTCGGGGAAAGTCGACCAGAAGTTGTATGTGCTCGTCGACTGCCCAAGTCGACGACCACCAGCCGACTTCACCAAGTCGGCCACTCCCCAGGTCGGCGTCACCCAAGTCGGCGCCACTCCTCTTCGTGCCTGTCGACCGCCCAAGTCGACGACTACCACCTGGTCGACCAGACCAAGTCGACCACACCCCCGGTCGACCAACTCCAGGTCGACCAGCCCTGCTGTCAGCCGACCACACCAAGTTGGCTTCACCAGGTCGGCGTCACCAAGTCGACGCCCTGCCAGGTCGACCTCCCACGTCGACCTCCTGAAGTTGGCTCCCTCCCAAGTCGGCGCCCACTACTGCAGGTCGGCTGCATTTCCCACACACCCGACCATGAAGTCGACTCCGCCCAAGCGAGAACGGGGCCAACACACAACTCCCGTTGACACCTTCTACAATCACCTGGCACTCTGTGTAAGTCTTGGATTATTGACATAGCATTGTTCTCTCTTTTGTGTCATGTTTTCGGTGCCTTGTGCCAGAGACGGGGAACAATAGCCGGAGCTACATCCTCCCTCAGCCTTATTATTCCGTGCCATGTCTTGCTATGCTGTGCCTTGTCTTGCCATGATGTGCCGTGCCATGCTGTGCCATGCCACACTACCCCTCTTAGCATGGAAGAGAGCCGAGCATGCAAGCGGGATGGCTTGCACCTGGTTATGGGATGGTGCAGGCGGCACGGAGACGGAGGTGGAAGCTCATGCAGTGCACATGTCTCATGTGCCTTCCATCATGCCATAGCCCTTGGGATGGCTCATGAGCTCTGTAAGCGCGCCTTGAAGTTGCTTGGTCCTGGTATGGAAGGAAGGAGGGATGCAAGTGCGTGTGCTCAAGTTGTCTCTTGATCAATCTCCCTTATAACGACAGCAATGCTGATTATGTATGTGCATTCATAAACATTCCCTTTCATACACACTGCTGGTCATTCCCTCATCCCCATCCCATGTAACCCATGCCTCCACACAGTGAGCTGCAAGGCAACGCATTCTCTGGCTGGCTACCCAACTTTGATTTGTGGAAAACCCTTTACCTTCTCACACTGTGAGCTCACTGCCTTGTTCTTACCTTCTCACACTGTGAGCTCACTGCCTTGTTCTTACCTTCTCAACCGATGTCCATCTATGTCAGCCCTTCATGTGCCCTTTGGATTTCCTTCTTGTTTACTCCCCCATTTTCACAAAGACATATCTGATCTAGCAGCCACAAGGAACATCTGAACTAGCAGCCACATACCTAGCATCGCATAGCTCTGAGTGGCTGGAAGTCACTAGAATATTCCCTAGGTATGTGGCTGAACTAGCAGTCGCATGCCTAGGATTGCATAGCTCTGAGTGTCTCGAAGTCACTAGAATCTTTAGCAGAGTTACACTTTTCCTTGTATCCTCATTCCCCTCGCCTGCGCCCATCCACCATGTCCCCTCTTTACCCTTCCCACAACCGCCCACCACCACCATGCCCCACTAAATTCCTAGCGACGTCAGCGACAACCAGCTCAGTGGCTCGCTTCCTGACTCCATCTCCAGCCTTGTATTGTTGTCCCGACTGTGAGCCTTGCTCCATCTCACTTTGAGAATAAGGAAGCAGTGTTGTTGTGAGTTAGGGGATGTTTGAGGAGGCATAAACGCTACCTTGAGAAACAGGTTGTGCACACCTTGTCTGGCCCCAGCAACTCTGACAGAATTAGCCGAGGTAGCACTTTTTGCTGCATTCGACCATGTGAAATCGCACCAAGGATCACCGCGGACATCATTGGAAACAGCTGATGTACTCTGCTCGCTGGCATGCACGTGTGGCATGGCATGGCATGGCACGGTAGGGGGATTTGAGGCAACAATCTGAGTGGCGTCATACCAGCTAGCCTGGGCAGTCTTTGGGATCTAACATACCTGTGAGTAGCACAACCATTCCCCATCCAGCACAAGCCTAAATGTGACTACTCTCCCCGCGCTGCTCTTGCAGCTTCCATCCTTCTTGCCAGGGTCTCATTATTACTTGCATCGAGAATCTTCCTATTTTTCCCCCCTGGATTTGAACTCAATGGCAGCATAGTGCTGTTGAGTTAGCTGGCCTCTTTTCTCCTTTCACTCCTCTGTGCCACATGCCTCACAAGCTTATCCTGCCTCTCACGTTAGAGTTCTAGATTCATTTTTGTACGTAAGATAGTAACCGATTAACTCCATATTACATGGTATTTGGTATTGGACCGAATGCACGTATTTGCTTGTCGCACACTAGTTTTAATTTAATATCTGGCCATGAGTGTGAATTGTTTCCCCGATTCTCCAATCAGCTTTTCTCCAACACTTACCCCCAGGAACGTGTCAGGCACGGGGCTGACCTGCCCTGCAGACGGCAGCGAGTGCCTGGTGAATCAGAGAAACACCACCAGCTTCTGCCACCTCTGCTTCTCCTTCTGCTCCTCCTGCACCCCCCTTGCTTGTAAGACTCCATGCTGCAGTGGCTGCCCGCACACACACGCACGCATAAGAACGATGCCACACCGGCTCCAATCTAACTTTCCAACAACGGCTGGGTGGTGGAATAGGTGTGCTTTACGTAATCTGATTAAACATTCCAATCTATGTCTGTGCCCACATCCCAGTGTCGCAGGCACGATCAGCATCTGGCCCTCGCACGCTCATTGCTGCTGTCATTAACCACTCTACTGCTGCTGCTGTTTCCGTCGTCTTGCTCCTGGTGTTCGGGATGTGAAGCGTAGAGTTTTCACATAGTGGTTTCGTATTGATTGTTGTGGGTGGGTGGACCTGGGGTAATGAGAGCCCAAGTCTGGAATAGCATACTCGAGGTTATCTTCAAATATACCGTATGTGTTGAGAGATTGCGATAATCCGTTCTAAATATGCTAGTGAAAGTCTGGATTTTGTGGCTACCTTTAAAGCCCGAGTACAGCATGGTAATTTTCAAGTTCAAGATTCTTGAACTTGAAATCGCCAAAAACAGAGTTACCCTACTTGCTTTGAAGAAACTCTCGCGAGCCCAGGCAATCGTCTTGCTTCCCCCCATCCCCTGCCATGCTTCCCCCCATCCCCTTCCCTGCTTCCCCCCATCCCTTCCCTGCTTCAACCCATCCCCTCCCGTGCTTCCCCCCATCCCCTTCCCTGCTTCCCCACATCCCCTTCCCTGCTTCCCCCCATCCCCTTCCCAGCTTCCCCCAATCCCCTTGCCTGCTTCCCCCCATCCCCTCCCCTGCTTCCCCCCATCACCTTCCCTGCATCCCCCCATCCCCTTCCCTGCTTCCCCCCATCCCCTTCCCTGTTTCCACCCGTCCCCTTCCCTGCTACCCCCCATCCCCTTCCCTGCTTCCACCCGTCCCCTTCCCTGCTTCCCCCCATCCCCTTCCCTGCTTCCACCAGTCCCCTTCCCTGCTTCCCCCCATCCCCTTCCCTGCTTCCACTTGTCCCCTTCCCTGCTTCCCCCCATCCCCTTCCCTGCTTCCCTGGATCCCCTTCCCTGCTTCCCCCCATCCCCTTCCCTGCTTCCCCCCATCCCCTTCCCTGCTTCCACCCGTCCCCTTCCTTGCTTCCATCCATCCCCTTCCTTCTTCCATCCATCCCCTTCCCTGATTCCCCCCATCCCCTTTCCTGCTTCCATCCATCACCTTCCCTGCTTCCCCATGTCCCCTTCCCTGCTTACCCCCATCCCCTTCCCTACTCATATTCACTGGAATGAGCTCCGCATTTAGTATGTGTTGTCGCAAAACCATTTTTCAACTTTCCTGCGGATAGGCGTGCTGGAATGATGGGCAGGAGGGCATATTTATGGATGCATCTAGCTGCCCAACAGATGCCACATGCGTTGATGTGGATGAAACAACAAGAAGGAACGGATGTGTTGTGCAAAGGTTACCCAAGGCCACAAAGAGGGCTGCATGCCTTACAATTGTTGTGCAAAGGTACCAGAACCAAGCATCAGTATGCCTAAGGCGGCAGAGTTGGATGAATGATATCAGACACAATGCAAAGGCAGCAGCACCAATACTAGCTGTATCCGAAAATCCAAGGAGGGATGAATGACATCTGCAGTGATAAGGCAGCAGCACCATGTGCTGCTGCTCATGAGACACCAGATATGGATGGATAACATACAACAGCAGTGCGTAGGCGGCAGAGACGAGAATAGAGCATTGTTGTAAAACGAGGGAGGGCGCGATGACAACTGGCCTGCCAAGGCAGCGGTGCGTTGAGCTGTTGTGCCTGAGAAAGCCGGGATGAAAACAAAACCAGCGACAAACTCAGGGCAACGGCTGAAGCAACATATCCTGCGGATTCCTGAAAACCAGAAAGGGATGTTAAAACACTGATTGCAAATGCAGCAGCACCATGTGCTACTGTGCATGCGGCATCAGCGAGGCATGGAAACCGGAAAACTACAGATATGGATGGTTGAAAAACAACCGAAGCGCAATGGCAGCAGAGCCAAGCTTTGCCATGCCTGATGCACCAGTGATTGGTGGACCACTAAACAAACATATGCAAAGGCAGCAGCAACTAGTGCTTCGGAATATTTGTTTTCAGAGGGCAGGCTGAATGACAACTCACCTGCCAAGGCGGCGGCGCGATGAGATGCGCTGCCTGAGGCGGCGGCGCGATGAGATGCGCTGCCTGAGGCGGCCGACATGGATGGATGACACCCCTTCCTAGTGCAACGCCAGCAGCTCCAAGTCCTTCCCTGTTCCTGAAAAAACAGAACGGGATGAATGACAATTGTTATGCCAAGGCAGCAGCACCATGGGCTGCCGTGCATGCGGCATCAACGAAACATGCAAGCCCGAAAACCCCAGACAGGGATGGTTGACAAACAACCGAAGCGCAATGGCAGCAGAGCCAAGTTTTGCCAGGCCTGATGCACCAGTGATTGGTGGACCACTCAACAAACATATGCAAATGCAGCAGCAACTAGTGCAATGCAAAGGTAGCACATGCCTACGGGCGGCTGTGCCAGTGGCACGAGCGAGGCATTAATCCCTGAACAGCAGTAGTGCAAAGGCAGTAGGAACTCGTGATGATGTGCAAGCGAATGGGGAGGAATGAACGAGTCCAACTGCAGTGCATCGGAGGATAGCACACAGTGGTGGTGCACCAAGTTTGCCTGCGGGTGGCCTGGGTGGGGAGGAATGACAACCAACTGTGCCAAGGCAGTAGGGTCGGGTGAATGACATTTGCATGACTTAGAGACGCTCTTGATGTGGTGAGAGTAGTAGGTGTCAACCCCGCTTGCTTTGTTTGTTGTAAGGATGTTGACGCATGCGTAGACGCAGCGTAGAAAACAGTGGCTCTGACATTTGCAGCACCCCCTTACACGCGCTGAGAGTAACAGCAGTGACGCGGAAGAAGAGACAATAGGAGATGTGATGCATGTAACTGTGGCCGCAAACAGACATCACATGCGGTGCGCTAGGCAGTTGCAGCAGCCGATGCATACATGTTTCATACTGATTTCACTGCCCCGACTCTTGACGTTCCACATTCACAGCACTGACTGTTTCGGCTGTGCCATGCGTGTTTTGTCGCATTTGCCATTTTACAGTAACACCTTGTTCGCACATGTGTAAGCCAGCCCTAAAACCACAGCTATTGTGAATCTGTGGCAGTGGCTCCCATCAGCTGTCCTTCTGCTCACTCTACTAGTGGCGACGCGTGCCATTCACGCTACCCTATACTAATCTCCCTTCACGCTTACCGATTATCCTCGCGGTTCGGAGATGTTGTCGGTCCCTGTCCTCCACTGACGCGCGCTTTCTCGTTTTTCTCCCTCTCTCGCTCCGTCTCTAGCCTCCTACCACACATCCCAAAATTCACAGCGCAAAAAACACTTTGAAATTGAGGGGGACCCCAAGGTCGCCCTCATGAGGTAACCCACAAGTTCCACTGTGTTCCCTTCAGGTTACCTCTGGGCACAGGCTACGTCAGCGACAACCGCCAACCTTAGCGCCCACCATCGTAACATACCTTCTGACCAATAGGGAGGGTTTCCAGTTCGCGAGGGTACCCCGAGGTTACCCCAACTTTGGCGGGAAAGTCGATGGGCATTGCTTACTTTGTCGCTACTCTGCTTCTGCCGAGGCTGCGACGTTCGGGAACTACACACAGCTTGGTATGGTACATACGCCCTGTACACTTCTTCTCTCAACCTGTTGGTATGACATATAACGGTTGTTTTCAATATGATTCCGTCTTTGTTATCGCATTGCTCAATATGTTGGAATACAGTGATGGGTTGGGTTACGTGGCACATGAAAGTTCACGAACCAATCAAAGCTCTTCGACAGCAGCTTCTTCTGCCTCTCCTCTCCCATCACCTTCACACTACTTATCCACCCTGCTACTTACGCATCCCGTCATTTTTCACTTCGATTTCAGCTCATGATAAACACTTAGAACAGCTAGTACGAGAGTCGGTGTACTTATCTGTTATCTCACTGCCATGTCCGCATTTTCCGCTACTTCAGTCTCGTAGACATCGCTGAAAGCTATGGATGACCGATAACTAGCTTAGTTTCTCGTCATTCCATTACTTATCAAGCAACGTCATAAACCTAGCGATTTCTTATGCCATCGTAAGTTACTTATTGTTTCCTTGAGCCATGTGTTTTGCTTTGCAGGAATCGACTACCGTCTTCTCAGGCGCTTATGCGTGGAGCTCTAGATTTTGTTTACGAGGTAAGCAAGCCGCCCGTACAGCCTTTGTGCTCTGCTTTTGCAAATATTGGTTTTATTTCCAATTTTCTTTTTCCTACAGGCTACTCTCCATGGCGAGCTTCTTGACGTGTCAAGGCACGTCATCTGGTAAGCCGTTTCCTGCTAACGTGTCGAGTGTTCGTTTCGAGTCCGTCGATTTCGACTCCTTTTGGCAGTCTTTTCGCATTATTCGTGAGATACAAATCCTGCTTGGCGCCATGTCGCTGGGTCTTGCCAGTTTTTTTGCTGTTTCTGGTGTTCCTGATTTCTCCGTTTGCTGTGTTGCAGGAGCACGCATTATACTTAGGGTAGTGAGCAATGCACGGAGGGCTCTCCACAGGGAGTATCATAGCTTATGAAACGTGATGTTTGTCAGCTACACACGGTTATTTGCATGTTAGCAATGTGGAAATGAGGAACGAGAATGGGTGAACTATGAAATGAAGTGAGTACAAATAGGAAACCCTAATTGGGTTGTACCCCCTATGGGATACCCCACTATAGCCTACACAACAGCATAAGCTATATAATGTTCTGACACACCCCCATAGGCAAAGTGGGGGAGAACAAGGGGTCACAAGACCAGTCAAGCAAAGCAGAGCAAGCTCAGGGTGGATCACAAAGTCACCACACAGTCCGAGCACAACGACAAGGCCACAAGGCCAGTTCACATGCAGGAGTACACATATATATATAGAGCTAGACAAGCAAGAGCAGGTATATATATGTAACAGTGCAAGCAAGGTCAAGAAGAGAGCAAGTGAGGCAAGACAAGTACAAGACCCAGCTGGGTGCAGAAGCGCTGATGGTCACAAGGCGCAAGTGCCTTGGTGAACACATCAGCAGTGTTGGCCTCAGAGGCCACGTAAGCAAGTCGCAACTGACCACGCTGCTGCAGCTCACGAGCAAGAAAGTAACGGAGAGCAATGTGCTTCGTTCTGTGCTCCAAGCGCTGCTCTCGACACAAGGCCAGCATGGCCTTGTTGTCTACGTACAGCACTGGAGGAGAACGAGGCGGCTCTCCAAGGTCAGTCAGCAGGTAGGTGAGCCAGCGAAGCTCCTGTGCAGCCATGGCCCCGGCGTAGATCTCAGCCTCACAACTGGAGCTGAGAACAGAGGACGAGCGAGTAGCCCGCCACGAGACAGAGCCGGAACCAAGACTGAAGGTGTAACCCTGCGACGACCGCTGTGTAGCCTGGTCGTCTGCCCAAGAAGCGTCCGCGTGCCCAGTGAGGACCACTGGACTCCGCCCTCCAAGCACTAGCCCCATGCCCGACGTACTGCACAAGTAGCGCAACACCCTCTTCGCTGCAGCCATGTGCTCTGGTCGGTGTCTCCCAGGAGCAACATAGCGTGCAAGAATGCTAAGAGGGTATGCAAGGTCAGGTCGTGTGCAGGTCATCAGGTACATGAGGCAGCCAACAAGCTCTGGGTACGGGCCACTCGACTCTACGGACTCATCCGAAGGCAGAGCTGAGAGCGAGTGGCGAGTAGACAGAGGAGTGGCCTGAGGCGAGGAGTACGTGAAGCCGAAGCGCTGAAGGACCTGCTGCACCATGTGTGACCGAGTCAAGGTAATGGTGCGGCGTGCTCTGTCCCGAGTGATCTGCAAGCCAAGGTAGCTGCGCAGTTCACCCAGGTCTGTGCACGTGTGTCTCTTCTGCAGCTCGGACTTCACGTAGGCTAGTCCAGCAGTGTCAGCTGTGGCAAAGACCAAGTCGTCGACGTACACGAGGACGTAGAACGGCGGCAAAGAAGTGTCGGTGCGCAGAAACAACGACGGGTCAGCAGTAGAGGGAGCAAACCCAAGAGCCGCAAGCGTAGTCCTCAGTGTGTCGTGCCACTCACGCGGTGCCTGGCGGAGACCGTAGACTGGCCGTCGGAGGCTCCACTGGGTGCCAGGAGGAAAAGTCCCAGTGAAGCCAGGTGGACGGCGCAGCCAGATCTCCTCGTGCAGGCTACCCTGCAAGAAAGCAGTACTGAAGTCAAGAGAGTGGAGCTCGTA